TTTGATTTCTTTGTATGTATGGATCACTTGGGTTGTTACCGACATCTGGTGAAAATTTCATGTCATTAGTACCTCTAGTAATATGTTTACTGAGAAAAATGGTTACGTGTTCAATACTTATTTTACCTGTATATACATCAGTCCTATATCCAGTAAGTAGYAATCCAAATAAATAAAAAGTTATGGATAAAAAAAATGTTTTATGTTGTTCACAGTATCTGCGGGCAATAACAACCAGAAAATATCAGGAGATTATTCAGCCCGRGACTCACCTGTACACTGTGGTGGTAGGAGTGGTGACTTTCTCATTCAGAATGCGGCACTTAAACTTATTGTACTGGAAAAGACAAAAAACACCCTGAGAATGCTGTCAAATGTATTACTTTATACCCCTGTATGTGTGTTTTATAATACCTTGAACATTTCCAAAAGAGTCTCCTTYTTTATTTCCAGCCTTTCGAATGTCTGCTTCTCTTTGATGATTTTCTTGCACATGGTCTCCAGACAGGGAAAGTCATTACTCGATACGCCACTGTTTGAAAGAACAGGTAAAAAATAGCAACAACGCATCTGCTTCAGATTTTCAATTAAAATATATATTGCCTTGCACACCATAGCTTTCAAAGGGCATCATGGATGTAACCTTACATTTACCTCCTCTGTCCGCCCAGAAACYGAGCAAGCAAAATACTTTAAGCCTAAGTTAAATTCCGTTTAAGCCTTTAGGCTTAAGGAATGTCAAAATTACCTTGCAACAACCTTCTCTAAAAAGACCTTTAGCAAACTCTAACTCCATTATGGAGGCTGTAGAAATAATTATGCAAAGCTCTGCAACCTGAAGCGAGAGGAAAAATATGTGGTGCAGAGAAAACTTAAATTTAAGTATATATCAAACTATTTTTCCAAACCCACACCCAAGACAAACCCAGCTAGACAGCATTAGTTTCATGACAGGCAGCCGGTAATTTGTGTCRTTAGCCATCAACCTCATAAAACCTGTAATACCTGCTTCGTCCTCATGTACACATAAAAAAACTGTAATGTTTGAGACAAAGCTGAACCCAAAACAAGCAACTTACTCGTTTTCCAAAAACATATCATAGTAGAAGCCGTTCTCAATCGGGGGTCCGTAACAGAGGCAGCCTCCGTACACCTTCTCCATCGCTTCACCCAAAATATGAGCACTGGAATGCCAGTAAACCTACAGAGCGCATGAAAAGACAGAAACAACTTACAGTATAACACAATTCTAACCTTTCAACTGTTTTTAGTTTATATTCATAGTTTCAGTGTTTGAAAATGAAATGTCTTAGTTGATAGATTTGTGTTTATGAATATAATTCCTACTAAATGTTCACGATTGGAAAATTAAAAACAGATGACACTGCAAGCATGTCTAACATTTTCTCAGAAGTCGTCAGGATGGTATTTAATCTGATCTCACTAAATGAGATTTCCTTAAATCCATCCAAAATGAGACCAGAGCCGATGTGAACTTACAGCTTGAGCGTCTTCATCATCAAACTTGAGCAACTGGAGGCTGCAGTCGTCCTCCAAAGGTCTGTCCAGGTCCCACACACTGTTATTTACTTTGGCAATCACTGTGTTGTCTGCAAGGCCTTGACTGCACCACAAAATATATAAAGATATTTCATATGAATAATAAATTACTGGTAGTAGATAATGTCCTCCACATTAAAATTAACATGACAGATAGCATTAGTTTTGACCCTAACTATAATAAAAAGGATAAAAACTGACAGCTTCAGTTCCCTTTATTATTAGTGAACAGAGTTAACCATGTTGTAGATTAAACTGTTACAATAACAAATATTTGAAATTACAGAGAATCATTCTAAGGGGAAAACATAGTTAAAATAGTTTTAAATACTGATAAACGTTCCTCAGAAAAATCTTAGACCTGTTTATCATGAACTTTTCTAGTGAAATAATTATGCTAATAAAATATTTCAGAGACATTAGCACAAAAAGTCCAGGATTTTAAACCACATAGAGGACTGCTGGCCCTGATTTTTAAAAAATGATGTTTTAATTGACAATTCTGCTCACTTATATCTACATTGGACAAATTATATTWGCAGATAATAGCCATGTTTTCCCAGGATTTTATTTTGACTAATGAGTTTTTTTCTCATGGTGTCAGATGATTTAATTGATTTTCCCCTTTAATAAACAGTCAAAGGTTACCGGGTGACATTTGCAGTAAATGGTTTTAATGACACCAATGCTGTGAACCCTTATGAAAAAGAGTAATAATTACGGCAGGCTGCATAAAAACCCCTGACACCTCAGCTCTGGCAATCATGTTTGAGTTTTGCCTTTTTTTTTCTTTTTTTTTTTAATTCCACATGACCAGGTGTCATCACAATAATTACGGCAGATCTATAATTACACTGACCTGATTCCACATGCCACTTGGTACGGGGTGGTCTTCCAGGACTCTGCCTCCACCACCTTCCCGTCAGGCAAGGTCACCTTGATTGGTTTGCTGTCTTTTGCAGCTCTCTCTGCCATCAGAGCATCGTGCTCCGCTTTCAGCTTTGCATACAAAGTAAGACGCTCCTCGATGTACTGAGGTGGTGGCGACAACTGGAGGGAAACAAAACGGCTGCWCATAAATGGATTGGTGGCAGATAATTCTCTCCCTGTGTAGAACGTTCGTTGTGTTTTCATTTGCACAAATTATGTGTTTCTCTCCAACACAAAAACACTAACAGGATTACTTTATTGTTTTGGTAAATTGAGTTTAAAGCTGATCATCAAGGTATTAGAGCTAAATGAGATGCCAGTGAGTATCCAAAACACACCATTAAAGCATTTCCCCCCGTGTACACCTGTCATATTTATCTAGGCAAAATTGCAAGGACTGCAAATTCATTATCATAGAGTTGTTTCAAATGAAAGATTTACATTAATAGGAAAATACAATATTTGTAAAACAAAAATAATATTAAACATAACACATATTTTTAAGTGTTTCTGTTYATTTTAGTTAAACTTACCTCAGATCTGCCTGAAGAGGCAGCAGCAGTTTTATTTTTCTTCTTCCCTTCATCTTTACCGCCTTCAGCTGACCCCTGCCCAAAAGTCAGAACATGAAGAAAAAAAAAGTTTTATTTAGAAACAAAAAAGCCATTACAAAAATTTCATGTTTGATTGGAGACTAAAACTGATTTATTTTCTATCAATTTTTGAAACCTTGAGGGTACAAAAACATAAAAATTCAAACGTCTATGCTGGTTAATGGTYAGTTTATTTAGCATGAGAGGCACATGTCAAAGCTAATTTTTAAGAAGTATTAAGTTGAAATCAGCCAAAAAGTGAGAAAAGACTCAGGTATTCCATTATGATGACTACGCCTTGTGAAATTACAAAAGGCAGGTTTTGAATGAAAACCAAACTAATTTACGAKTCAAATATATGCCGATTCACAGAAGTAAAGCTGATAATTGATAAAAATGCCTTGTAAAGTAACTGCACAAGCAAATGTTARCTTTAGGCTAATAAATTATGAAATTCCAAAAAATCTGTGCAGAGTTTGGCGCAAGGTCATGTTAGCCAAACCAAATAAATCGGAAGATCCCTACGTAAATGAAACATGTTGTAAGCAAAGCACCACATCAACACATCTATACAACAAATAAAGATCGCCATGTTAGCTTTATAAAYTTAGCCATCTGAATATAACAGTCAGCATAGAAATGACTTGCCGAAGCGTTAGCGCCGCATTGTGTGTGTGGAAACTAATGACTGCACGAAGCCCCACCGGCAAGGCTTAAATTAATTAAATTCATAAGCTCAAGTCATTTAATTATTACCTTTTTGCTTCCATTCACATTCAGTTCACTCATTTTCTCCACGACAGTTGGTTCGGCCATAAGAAGTACAGAACTTGCTAACTTTCAGAGGCAACTTCTGCTGTCAGAAGCGAGGATTACAGGAAGTGGTACCGGGTGAGGGATGATGACGTCAGCCGGACATTCTGATGCAACAGTGGGCGGAGCTCCGAGTACATTACTAATTTCACTCTTCTCTTTCTTGTGTTCTATTTCACATGATATTCACATAAAAATATAATTAAACTGAATTTAATCATAATTTCTTAGTAATCAAGAGAAATTTGTTGCATATTTTTTTGTGAAAATAAATCTGTTGCCACCTCCCTGTAGCCACTTTTTGTTTTTACTTTTGTTAAAAAAATCTTTTTACAAATTGGGTTATATGAGAATTTGATTTATTTGAATCTAACTTCAAAATACAAAATGCGAACAAAAAAACTAAAATCTAATGAAAAGCTTGTCATCTTTCTATCCATCTAGTTATCTATCTACCTATCTATCTATAATTTACAGATATACATAAAGCAGTTTGCAATATTTTGTTGTTTGCAAAATACAAGTTAGTATTACAGTCAAAGTTGAATTTGTTACCCAAGGTAGGCCTATTTCTCTAAACATCATATTTTTTGCCTTTATGCACAAACACAACTCTTTCAGTCACTTAACGTTTTTATATGCTTTTAAAAATAATGAACATCTAATTGCTAAAATTGCAATCATCCTGTTTTGCATTAGTAAGCAGCTGAAACATTATAGAATGCAGGCAGACTTTTAAATAATTAAACAGATGAATCTGTACTTTAATAAACACAATTTGTTCGCATAATAAAATACATGTTTTTTTCTTGTGGGTGATTAAAATCGTATCCCTGATTGCTCTGCACAGTAAGGAGAGTATCTGAGGTCTGCCGTGCTTGAAGGCACCAGACTTCAGACAATTTGTGCATCTCAATTATAAGCAGAATACTAAGTTTCAACTTGTGGCWCTCTCTAAGGGAATAAAGAAGATGCTGCTCCCTGTGCAATCCTGCTGTTCTTGGCTTGTTGTGCAGTGAGGAAAGTCTTGAATAATTAACCTTCAAAAGCTTGAAAAGTCAGACACCATCTTTTATCTTTTATTTCTTGGCTCAGTTTTAGGCTTTGAACACTGTTCCTGTAGCTGCTCCAATTTACAAAGCAGTTTGTCTGATGCATGAATAAACCAAGCTTTGATTACAAAACAATTGGCAAATTTCATATATTTCAGTATGAAAATGCAATACATGAAAAAATACAATAAAACACACAATAAGATGATGCTAAAACAGATGCTATTAGCAAAACTGTAACCAAAGTAGCAAAACAGATGCTAAAACTAGCAAACATCTAGCTAAAATTACCTAAATATGCTAAAGTTATAAAAACAAAAAACAAATGGTAGCTAAAAGCTAAAAGTAACAAAACCTGAAATTAAAAAAAAACAATAACTAAGGTGGAAAGAACGCTAAAAGCTAAATATTGCGAGTAGCTATAGAATAGCCACAGTCACTAGCTAAAAGTGTCATGAAGACAAAAAAATTAAAAGTATGGTGTAGGAGGTCTTAAAAAGAACAATGTTTATTGAAGGAACTGAAAAGATCTGAGTATTTTTATTAAAAAAATTAAAAGTATAAAAATCCCAAATATCATAACGTAGTATTTATATTCAAGCCAAAAGTTTTGAAATATGAATGTTTTAAATAAATGCAAAATATGCAAAAGTATATATACACATACATATATAT